ACCGGGTTTATGCGTTTAATATAAGTGACAAAAAATAGGTAGCAACAGATTTTTATTAAATAAAAAAAGGAAATACAAAAATAGGCGCGATTTTAAAAATACTGACGAAGTGTGAGGAAAATATAGAAATTTCATGATTACTAAAGGATAATATTTAAGGAATTCAATGAAATATCTAAGGATAATAGTAAGGAAAATAAATGCAAATACATACATAAAAGAATTATTTACTTAAATAACAGTTTTTTTCCTGTTTATTTTTACTGATCTATTTTTGTTATACAAATCCGAATGCAGGTTTTTAATTTTGAAGAACATTCGACTTCAAAAGAATAGTTTCTATAACCAGGATAATAAGAAGGTTATCTTCGTAACTCAGAACTTCTCAACAGGGGACCCTGCGTATAAAAGTTTCGCATCTGATTAGGATTCGCAACTGGTGTGACTCATTTATCTGTATTATTGAATATACTTCACTACATATTTTATGAAAAGATGGGATTTATGTATAATAAGTAAAACAAACAAAAATTTGTTTTTAAAAAATATTTTTTATACAATATAATGCATAGCATAAAAATAATGTACTAAATACAAATAACTGCTACATGGTGGGTGTATATACAAAATTAAAAGAAAATTTTTCCTGAACAAAGTCACTGACAGTTTTTTAATTCGTTCATCAAGAACAACATGTAGAAATTTTCCTTTTTTGCAATATATATAATTTTACCTTTGCTGTATAATACGAAATGTTCAGTCTTCAAAAGGGTAGAGTCCCCAGTTAAGATATCCCGAGTTGCGAATGAACCAACGTGAAGTTCTGCTTTGAGGACTCTTATAATTGGAAGGTTAAAAGTGGTTGGAATAGACATATTAAATTTTTGTTTTGAATTTATCTGTACGGCCACAGGCAGGGGGTAGCATTGCCTCTAACCATTCCCATACATATTTATTTTTAAAAGTATCATGGATTTTTAATTATTTTATCTAGTGGGAAAAGGGGACATAGCCTTCTGGGATTGATTCCCTTGGGCCACTCCTCACTTCTGAAGGAAAGCGAAAAATTAATGACTCTTTTGCTTTGATTATTACTGTTACATCCGTAAATAGTGTACCTTTTTAATATTTTTTACCAATAGCACTCACGAACAACGTTTAAAACATAATATAATACAAATATTCTCTTAGAATGTTATGGAGCACTAAAAATGACTTACAAACCACTGCAACTTGCGTCTGCCATATGATATTTGCTTCGTGCAAACTCTACTAACTCTACGCATGACGTCACCGCTGAAACTTAGTAACAATTCCCTTGGGTGTGCAAAGCATATATACTTGTATGCCATATTTATGCCTTTTGTTTTTTATGTACTGCCGAAGTATAAGCCGCCCACTCCATAAAATCATAGACTCATCCGGACCAGGATAAAATACAGCTTTCATCTTCTCGTTGAAAAGGTTTTACTTTGTACAAGCGATCATGTGGTAGGTACTTCTTTATTTTCCAGTGGATTTATGGCAAAATGTAAAGCGCGTAATATTAATAAAAATCGATTACGACTCATTTGTTGTGGAAAATATTGTAATATAATATTGCAATAATCCTGTAATCTATTCAAAGATATTGTACCCGTATGCAATAGAAGTCCCATGAAAATTCGTAATTCTGGAATAGTACATCGTGCCATTTTGTTATTCTGGACTGTTCGGTTTACCTTCCAAGCACAATATTTCAACCGCATATATATTGGTCAAAAACTAAATTAAAATAATCAATAGGGTTATTTCCTTGAGGCTGTATCAACAACTCTTGTCTTTTCGTAAATGAAATTTGTTTCACACATTTTTCATCATTCCAATTTAAAACTATCTTAGGAATTGGCCTTCTTGCTTGATTTGCCATAGAACTGCCATTTTCTTCTTCATCTTCTTCGTCTTCTGAGTGTTCTGGTACGTAACCTAAAACGGATAAATTTACGTTTACTTTACGATAATGTTGTACTATAAAAAATAAAACTTTTTAAAGTTAAAAAATATCAACGAATATTACCTTGAAGGCTGTCCTCATAGTCACTCTCTGAAATATCAAGTGACTCTTCTTCAAAATCTGAACAATTTGCAATGTACTCCAATTCAGCAGCAGATAATTTAGTTTAAGTTCTAGGATTAATTTTACACCTTTTTGCATTGCGTGGACTTGCTTCTTCATTTTGATTGTTCAAAATCACAAACAAAAACCAAGCACGTTTTTCAATATTTTACACCATAAACTAATGCCAACATACACTACACCTTCTTACAGTCAAAGCCACAATGAATTGGAGTTATAAAAAGTAGATCTAACAATAGCGCGTAAAGTAGTGGTGGTCGAACGCGTAAACGCGGAATGGGCAGTGAAGGTGTTAATACACGATTAGCGAAAAATATACAGTTGGTTTCACATAAAACGTGTGCATACAAAAAGGTTTTGTTTGTATAAATATATCTAAGCCTTTCAATTTACACCTGGGACATGACCTGCTAATTGTTGTTGTTTCGTGACAGGTATAAGATGGGTGCAAAATAAATGATTTGCTGCATTTGCTTGTTCATGTACGTATTTTATATGAAATCAAACGTATACAGTGTTTTCATGAGTACACCCTAATATCCCAGTTATAAGTAATGCGATTTTCTTAAAATTTTGTTAGAAAAGTATTTGGCATAGTGAACATTTTTATTTACCATTGGCGTTCTGTGTTGGGAGGTAAAAAAGGCTAGATTTTTTGGGAAAAGGGTATTAGGGCTTATTTTAGATAACTTTGTCTATTAGATTTCCCAAGAAACACCTTAATTTATATTTTCAAAATCTCAAAAGCTGATTTTAGCAGAAACACAAATTAATTTATTTTAAGTCCATTTTTCTAATAGGTTGATTATTTTTACCTTTTTAGTTTAAATGCCCTAATCATAATGCGTTTCAAACACCTCGCAAATGCTGTTAATATTATCATTTCGATTTTTTTTGAAATTTTGCTAAGATACGCGTGCTCTGTTACTGTTCACATGCTGACCTGTGTTATTTTTAAGCAAGTTAATCAATGAGTGCTTTGAAACAAATATTTTTGTTTGAAATTTAGTAACTCGTAAGAAATGAAAATAAGTCAAGCAGTGTTACTTAACTGTTAATAAGATGGCACAAAATCGAAGAGTAGTTCTTACAATTGTAGAAAAAGTAGAAATTATCCGCTTACTTGGTAATAAAGATCTACGTGTCAGGTTGCTGGAATATTCAATGAAGGGTATCATGATCGAGCACCAATTTCTCACAGTACTGTTGCTGAAATCAACAGATTGTTCGCAAGGACTAGAGCAGTTTTCAAGACAAGACCAAGGAGGTACAATTTAAATCAAATACACTATTCAGATGACGAACGTATCTTAGCAGAATTTCAAAACAACCCAAATGGTAGTATAAGAGCAGTTGCGGGGATATTGAATTTAACGAAAAACAAAGTATGGAGATGTTTGAAACGCAATAGGAATAGGACATTTAAACCAAAATTTCTACATACTCTGTTAAATGGTGATTTTGAACGGCAGTTTGAATTTTGCTTATGGTGTCAAGGAAACTATCTTAACGACAGGCTTTTTCTAAAGAACATAATGTTTACTGACGAGGCAACATTTACGACAAATTGTTAGGTATCTAGTCAAAATTGTAGGTTTTCGGTAGCCGAAAATCCGAATTGGGTAATTAATTGTACAAACCAATACAGTGAAAAAGTTAACTTGTGATGTGGAATATTTAACAAACGAATTGTTGGACCGTTTTTCCTGGATAACCTGAACGGAGAACATTTTTTACATGTTTTACAAAATAAGTTTTATGATTTTCTCATGAAATTGCCTTTATCATAGAGACACAACTTATTTTTTCAATTAGATGGTGCCCCCGCACATAATTCTCTGATAGTTAAAAACTTTTTAAATGCAACTTTCCCTATGAAGTGGATAGGTAGAAATTATCCTTTAGAACCATGTACACCCAGATCGCCCGATATTACCCCTTGTCACTTTTTTTCTGTGGGGACACTTAAAGTGTATACAACTCGGCCTCGTAATAGGGAGCAGCTTTGCATTAGAATTAGACAAGCCTGTCGGGAAGTTACTCCTCAAATTTTAAGAAAAGCAAATGTACGTTTAAGAAGAATTGTTGAAAAGCGTATTGTTTTAGAAGATGGTTATGTTGAAAAGACAAGAATCTAAAATAATGTGATTCATAATTTTGTTACCACAGTTACATATAAAGAACTTATTAAAAAAGTGACTGCTAAAATCAACTTTTAAGAATTTTAAAATATTAACTAAGGGGTTTTTTGAGATGCTGATTCTAAATATGATAGAAAAAGTTATATCAAATAATCTCTAATATTCTTTTCCCAAAAAATAAAACCTTTTTTACCCCCCTCCCAACACCGAACGCCAATGATAAATAAAAATGTTCGCAAATACTTCATTTTTCTAACATACAATCACTACTAAAATTTTAAGAAAATCGCATTATTAATAACTGAGATATAAGGGTATACTCATGAAAAGCGGGACACACTATTAGATACCTACATTAGATACCTACCTCGCACATTATATCCATCGGCGCTACGCGCCTCAGGATATAAAAGTGCTCGGTAAATAATAGCTCACTTCTCACCCTAGGTATATAATGTACTATTATCTTATCTATAAAAACAAATATATTGAAAAATAATACAAAGGTTTTAAACTAATTATATAATTAATTTATCCATTTTAAAATTGCGTGTAAAATTCTTATCTATGTATGCAGCAAAATCTTTGAAGAATTTAATTTTTTTTTTTAAATCCATTCATTGTCTGTGTTTTATTTGTTTTTATCTTAAAATTAATGCAAAACTTTACGAAAACGTTAAATAAATTAAATCATTTGATATGAAAAGTGGTTTCTAGTGGGTTGTTAGTTACTTGATGTAAAAATGGAGAAAAAAAATTATAGGCATACTTATTTGTCATGTATTTCAGGTAACTAGAAATAATACATTATACACTTGGGTTAAGAAGTAAGCTAGTATTTCTTCTCCACAGAAGTATATATATATATATATATATATAACTTTTTTTACTACTAACAGTGATATATATTACCATATTTGATTTGATTAGATTTTGGTAAACCCAGCTTTAGTTTTTTCCTATTTATTTTTCAAATATTTCGAAATATTAAGTATTCTGGGAGTTTAGTAGTCAAATTAACACAATGAAACTAATGGAACTCAATTTCATTATTTACCTAGTTGTTTTTTATTATCATTATTTACCTAGGGTGAGAAATATTACTTCTCATTATAGAAATGGTGATTTCTCATGTTAGTAGTAAAAAAATATCAATATTATTATTTTTAAAAAGAGTCTAGTAGTCTTTTTATCTTAATTATAACATGCAAATTTCAATTTGAGTTTATTTACTTATTTTCTTTTCTGCCTGAGAATTTAACATCTATTCTTCTACGAAGCCTTTTGCTAACAAATAGTCTAACTATCACAACCACCTCTGATACTTATGTACAGGGTGTTTAGCATCCTCTGAGAGATACGTTAAGGGTCGTGAATTTATTACGGCTTCGCATTTGCATAACATTGATGAAATTTCCTCGAATGTAAGACAAGCTTTACCTAAAATTTTGCGTAGAATTTGTTTTAATATTCTAATCAATCTCTCCCACCATCCTCCCCACCAAGGTGCTGTAGGAGGATTAAATTTCCATTTGATTCGTTCGATTGTGCTGAAATTCGAAACTTCTACCCAATCAACACAAGCAAACGAATTTTGGGCACCTGTAAAATTAGTCCCATTGTCACCGTGGATGGTCTTCCTCTTCTGGCAATAAACCTTCTAAAAGCTTGTAAAAAACTTTCAGTTGACAAAGATACTACTAATTCTAAGTGCACTGCACGATATACAGCGCACGTAAAAATGCAAATCCAGACCTTTTCGTTTGTTCTTAAGAAAAGAGGCCCAGCCAAATCTATGCCAGTTACTTCAAAAACTGCAGCTTCTCTGACACGATCTTCAGGTAAAGGAACTGATGGAGAAACAAGCCTTGTTGCATCAAACTTTCGGCATATGATGCATTTGGAAACAACATCTTTAAGGGGTCTCCTTCCTCCAAGAATCCAAAATCTTTCTCTTAAGTTTCTTAACAAGCCTTGAACACCTACATGACATGCTCGGACGTGATAATAATGGATTAATCTGGACACAACAGGATGTTTTGCCGGTAACAGAATGGGATAACAAAAATCTTCGAGGTCTTTTCTCTCTGAAATCTTCGTAGTAAGTCTCATTATGTCGTTTTTGTCTTGAAATGGCGATAAAGATGATATTCTATTGTCTTTCAAACCTTCGAAGCATTCTTTTTGAATTAGTTTTAAAACCAGAATTTCGGCTTCATTGATTTCATCTACTGAAAGTTCGGCTATTTTTCGATTTTTTGGATTTAAACAATTAAAGATAAAGCGCTTTGTCCATGCAACGAGTCTTAAAATTTGCTGGTATTTCGAAAAATAATTATAGTACCATGTAAAATCAATTTCTTTGTTTACAAACATAGAAAAAGTACTCTAACTTTTTTCATCTGAAACAAAATCTGTATTTGTTTCATACTCTTGTACTGGCCAATCAACTCGATTCTTCCTCAACCATATAAGACCCTCCCACCAACGATATTGAAGTAGTTGCTGTACTGAATAACCTCTTGAAGGAAGATCTGCAATATTAGATTGTCCAAGGACATGATACCAACAATCTGGTTTTGTCAACTTACGAATTTCCTCAATCCGAGTTTTAACAAAAGTTTTCCAATTGTCTTCTCTCTTAATCCAAGAAATAACAGTAGTAGAGTCAGTCCAGCAAAAAATTCTGATATCTTTTCTTTTTAGAATCTTAATGGAGGATGACAATAATTTTGCACCTATAGTTGCAGCGAGTAATTCCAATCTTGGTATCGAAATAGTTTTTATTGGTGATACTCTACTCTTTGCTTGAACTAGCTGAACACAACTTCCTTTTGTAGATTCAAAAAAACAACAGCAGCATATGCGTCTTTGCTAGCATCACAAAATAGGTGTAATTCCCACGACTGCACATGTTCAGCTACTTCGTGTAAAAGCCAGCGAGGAACCTTCAGGTTTTTTAAACTATTTAAATTTTTCAACCAATTAAAAAATGTATCTCTGATATCTTCTGGAACTTCTGTATTCCAATCTAGTTTTAAAATCCATGTTTGCTGCAACAACAATTTTGGCTGAAGAAGAACAGGGCATGCGAATCCAATTGGATCAAAAATGCTATTTGCAACCAACAAAATTATTTTTTTTGTTATTTTTTCTGTTATTAAATGTTCAACTCCACTAAAACACATTTCTAAAGTATCCAAATTCCTATTCCAATTTAGACCAAGAACAGACGACATCTTATTACCGTTATCTTTTTGTAATGTTGTAAATTCCCATAATCTTAGATCAAATTGACCTTCTGACATTATTGCTTGCCTTTTGTTAATGAATTTTTGAAGATCGTCTTCACTGTCTAAACTAGCAACACAATTGTCAACATAAAATCCTTTCAGTAATTTGGATATAGTGGAAATGAAGTAAGTCGATTTTCCAGAAAATACATCGTTTAGGGTCTGCTCCAAATGATAATTGATTACAGCTGCTAGAAGAAATGGGCTACTTGTAACTCCAAAAACAACTCTAGCATGTCGATAGGTTACGAGTTTTCCGTTTTTGTCATACCAAAGAAATCGTAAAACATTTCTATCTTGCTCAAATAAACTAATTTGAAGAAAAGCTTTACGGATGTCTGCTATTACTCCAATTTTCCCATTCTAAAGCGAAGTAAAATAGATGGAATTAACTCTATCAAATTAATACCCTTTTCAAGACATTGGTTTAATGAGGGATTATTTCCTTCTTTGGCAGATGCATCAAATACTGGACGGAGCTTTGTTGTGGCACTAGATAACTTTACTACATGTCTATGAGGTAGGTAATGACTTTTAATATCTACCTCAGATTCTAAAACTTGTTCAATTATGTTTTCACCTAGCCATTCTTTAAAAACTTTATTATATTCTTCGTAATATCCATCTTTTTCTAGTTTTTTCATCAAATTATCTAATCTTTTTTTAGAAATTTCATAATTGCTTGGAAGTGGAGCATGACTGTTAATCCAGGGCAATCTTACTTTGTATCGTCCATCTTCTTCTCTAGTAACTGTGTTTACAAAGTAATCTTGAATCGCTGTTTCCTTTTCTTCCTTCGTACTTTCTGTAGCAGGATCCGAAATTCCCAAAATATCTAGATTCCAAAAATCACTTATTGAAAAATTTAGAAAGGAGAAAGTAGTAGCTAACATGGATACGGAACATCGATCACCAACTTGATTAGTTTTACCCATTATATTCCAGCCAAATGACGTTTCTAGAATTACTAAACCACATTTTAGTACATTTCGTTTCCCAGAGAAAATTTTACCAGCTATATCAGCCCCTATGAGAATTTCGATAGGACCATCGCTGGTATCTGTAATTTGAATATTCATTTCTCTGAGTTCTGTTAACCAAGGACCCTCTGATAAATATTATATGTTGCTACATATTAATGGTTGGTCTAAAGTTTCAAATGTACATTCATATTGATTATCTAGGCTTTTCAGGTTAATTCGATAACATGTATGTTTTACGGCTTCTGACTTATAACCACTAAAGAGTGCATGAATCATTTCTTCCTCTCTAATTGGTTCATATCCCATCTCTAATGCCGTATGTTTGCACATATAGGATCTCTGTGATCCTGTGTCTATAATAGCTCTCGCAAGGCTTACGTTTGTTTTGTTTTTTATTTGCACTAACAATGTTTGAAGGAAAACTTGTTGATAAGATGCCTGATTTGACAAATTTTCGACTTGTGGGGGTTTAGCAGGCAAAACATTTTTATTTTGTTCATTTTTGAAGCACATAACTGTAGCATGTTTACCATTGAAATTATTACACTTCAATTTTGCGACACTACGACATTTACGGGAAATGTGGCCAAATTTTAAACACAGATGACAGCATCCGTTCTGTGATAACACCTTCTTTTTTTCAGCATGCGATAATTTTAATGCTTCAGAACAATTAATGCTTAAATGCTCAAGTTTGCAGAAAACGAATTTTGGATTACTTTGATTTACTAAACCAGCAGCGTATTTTTAGAAGTCGAGAAATCTAAAATGTCTTTCTTTTTCATTTTCTGTAAATCAAAACCAGAAGCAGCTAGGCTTATTCTTTCTTCTCCTTCCACTTCTTTTTTCAAAAACCGCATCAATTTGTCTAAACGAGTTTTTATATTTGAATCAGAAGAAAATTTCAAAATTCTTTGCCAAGCACGTAAAATTTCTTCAGGCAAACAGGACTCTACCAATGGGTATAACATGGCTGCACACTTATCTGATGTTATACCGAGTGTTTCTAGATTTCTTAATTGGGATTCTAATTTGTCATACAAAGAGCTTATTTTAAATTTTCCGTTCAAATTTTCCAGCACCAATTTTAATAATTCGCGAACGTAAACTTCAATTAACAGATCAGCTCTTCCGAAACGAGATTCCAAACTTTCGACTACCTTACTGTAATTCTCACTAGTTGGTGGGTAACTTTCAACTAACGATCGAGATCGTGATTTTGGAACTATTGACTGAATCAAGTATTGAAATTTATCATCATTGTCTAGTAATTCATCTTCATGCATTCTTTTGAACTGGCTCCAAAAAGGTAACCAATCGGAAATTTCTCCTCCAAACTTGTTTAGTTCAATAACTGGAAGTTTCATTCTATGTTTAGAAGAACTAGACTGGCTAACTATACTACTTTTTTCAGCAAAATCTTTAGTTACTAGATGTTCAACCCTAATTTTTAAGTTTAGAAATTTGCTTGTCAAATAATCAGCATTTTTCATCTGGTCATCAATCTCTTCATCGGCAAAATCGTTATCAAACATAAAATGTACTACATCTTTGTGAATTTTGGTCAAAATTTCATTTTTATTATCAAGGACTCTAATATTAGCTTGAATCTCAAAAATATCCTGACCATCTCGTATTAGCTTAATCGTTTCATCCAATATTCGTTCAAAGGCAGTCCTGTGAGAACATTGCGCTTTAAGAAGCTTCTCCTTGAGATGATTTACAAATTAAATGTTCAAAAAATATCTTCCAGTCCTGTCACGGTCGCCAAATGATTTGAATAGAGCTATAACCTACCCGTCGATAGCCTATTTCGTTAATATGGATGATACTTTTATTAATTTAACGAATATTGGTAAATACTTTATTTTATGTAAAGATATATGACAACTTCAAAAGATAAAATTAGTGACAACCACAAACTTCTATAAAACAATATATAGGGTGCTGACAAGAACACTTCATATAAAGTGAGTTAACTTCCAACACATGTCCTGCGTTTTGTAAATAAATATTTTTGTATTATTTCCCATTACGGGCCTAGACTAGGACATTGGGGTATCAAGGACGGCTTCAAGAAAAAAATTCGGGGGGAGGGGGGGGCATTGCCTTTAGATATTCCCTTTGTAGCACTTTTTTTAATAAAAGGCTCATAAATCGTAAGCATTTTCATCTCGAGGGGCTCATGGCCCCCATAGAACCCCCTAGAGCCGCCCTTGTGAGGTATGCGATATTTTCTAATGTGGGAACTGTATTTGAAATATTTTGTAGTTCTGAAAATTCTGAAAAGAACTGTTCTTTTTAGTAAATCAATTTCAGCATTTTAGAAATAAATTATGACATGGTTTTAGGTAGTTTTTACTGCCTCTCTTTTTTATAAATGAGTGGAATTCTCCCTGAGAACATTTACAATCAACATGACTCTTCAATTTTTATCAGATATCTAAAAGTTCATTGTTAATAATAATCCAAAATAAAATAATTTCCTTTCATAATGATTCTAATAATTTCTATTTTTTTTTGTTAATGAACCTATGTGTTTAAATTCCTATTTGATTAAAAGTCTTTATTTTATGATTTATCATTCCGAACATGTCTTAAAAAATTTTAAAGTGGCAAAAATATAAAATTTCATTAAAAAATATACATGACTGAAGATTAAGAGATAACAGTTTATTTATTTTTAAGAAAAAATTATTTCCTATGATGTTATTCCACATAACTGAGAAACTGTATAATAACTAAAAAAAGAGCTCATAAAAAATACAAAATAACTCATTCATTACAAGATTATCAAGAGTTTGCAAGACTTAGATCACTTTGTAAAAGACTGGTAAAAGAATATATTACTCAAACAGAATCTTCAATACCAAATAAGTTAAAACAGTTTTGGAAATTTGTAAATGACAACAGAAAAACCTCAAACTTTCCTAGTGAATTAATATATAAAGGCATAACAAGTTCTAGTGGTAATGATATAGTTAATTTGTTTGCTGATTTTTTTTCAAAAGTGTATGTTCATAATGATTGTGATATTTCAAAGGTACCTGTATATGTCAATAACATAAATATATTTAACTGTGATATTAAAATATCCGATGTTTATACTAAATTAGCAGCTTTAGATATTCCTAACTGTCCTGGGCCGGATGGAATTCCTCCATCTATTCTAAAACCTTGTTCTTTTATTTTAGCATGACCATTGTTCATAATTTTTAACTTTTCTCTCTCTCTCTGGGCATATTTCCAACAGTCTGAAAGACAAGTTATATAACACCAATTTTTAAATCTGGCAACAAATCCAAAGTAAAGAACTATCGAGGAATCAGTATCTTGAGTACTATACCAAAATTATTTGAAAATCTGGTTTGCGAACATTTAACATCTTCACTGAACAATATACTCATAGATCAACAATTTGGCTTTAGACGTAAAAGTTTACCAGAATTAAATTTATTAACATATTCTCACTACCTGTCAAATGCCCTTGAAAATGGATATGAAGTGCATTCTATTTATACTGAGTTCTCCAAAGCCTTTGACCATAGAGTTTTAATCCACAAATTGAAAATGGCTGGGGTAAATGGATCACTTTTAAATTGGTTAGAAAGCTATTTAATTGATAGACGTCAAATTGTACATATTTCAAACTACAAGTCATACGGCATACACGTACCTTCAGGCGTCCCGCAGGGCTCACATCTAGGACCACTACTTTTTAATATACTTATTTGTAAATGATATTAAATCCTGTTTTCATTTTGGTAAATTTCTTTTATTTGCAGATGATCTCAAACTGTACTCTACAGTATCATCTGACATTCACTGTACGTCACTGCAGTCTGATTTAGATTACTTAGTCAATTGGTGTGACTTAAATGAATGAGCCTAAATTCGGATAAATGTAATGTTATCATATTCCATCGAACTCGTGATACAATTAATTTTCAATATACAATCAGTGCCAATATCCTGGAGAACTGCCACATTATTAGAGATCTAGGGGTCAACTTTGACTCACAACTATCTCTTGTTCCACATATTATTTCAAATATTAATTATCAACAAATCTCTACAGATGTTAGGATTTCTAAAAAGAACTACTCAGAATTTCACAAACATCAACACACTTAAAATTTTATATTGTTCTTTAGTCAGAACCCATAATAAAATAATGATTTAGTTATTTTTTTTAGTGAACTTAATGGCATTTATAACAGGCATAGGATACTCATGGTCCTCACCATGCATACCAAAACTACGTGATGTAATAGACCCAGAAAATAATCCTTTAGGTCGAGCAGCTACATTACAAGAAATATCCTGGATAACATCCTTACACGCCCTGGGATCCTTAGCAGGACCGCTGCTCACAGGAACGATGTCCAAAAAAATAGGAAAAAAGAAAACATTGATTATATTTTCATTACCACAAGTCGCTTCTAGTATAATTATGTTTTTTGCTTTTGAAGTTGAACATTTTTACGTAGCAAGATTTTTACTTGGTATCGGTACAGGTTGTGTATTCTCAGTCATACCGTCTTATGTAGGTGAAATATCTGAACCCGCCATTAGAGGACGTACTAGCATGCTTAACTCAGTACTCCTAACTGCAGGTCAAACCGTAGTACTTACAGTTGGCCCTTTTGTTACTATCAGAACTATTTCTTTAATGACTCTAACAACCTCAATCATTTTTTTGTTTACTTTTAGTTTCTACGTACCGGAAAGTCCTTATCATTACGTTCTACACGGTAAAGTAGATAAAGCCAAATCGAATCTTAAAAAATGGGGTAGAACTGATAGTACCGAAAAGGAACTACTAGATATCATTGAAATTTGCGATAAATCAAAAAATGAGCAAACTATTAAAGCCATTCTGAGTTCCAGGATTTTACAAAGGTGTTTGATAATATGTCTCGGTCTGGTCAGTTTGCAATCGTTAGTTGGTAATCCTGCTATAGTAGCATACCAGCAAACAATTTTAGATAATTCCAGTAGCACTATACCTGGTGAAACTAGCGTGATAGTGATTAGTATTTTGCAAATGATTGGAACTTATTGGAGTACGGGTTTGGTGGATAGATGGGGTAGGAAGCAATTGTTGTATATATCGTACTTAGGTTTACTGGTATCTTTAGTCATTTTAGGTGGATACTTGATTCTAATTGAACTTAAAGTTAAGTTAGAAGCATTCTTTTGGATACCATTCGCTTCTATCTTATCGTACATAGTGTTTTACAAAATTGGTGCTGGTCCTCTTCCTTGGACCCTCAGTGGGGAGATATTTCCACCAAGTTTCAAACCACATTTAAGCGCTTTAACAGCACTAGTCATGACTTCAGTAAATTTCTTAGTTACTCTATTGTTCCCCTATTTTCTTGTAAATGTCGGTTTGGGTATAACTATGTGGATTTTTGCAGCATTCGGCATACTGTCTTTAATTTTTATTAGACTTGCTGTACCAGAAACTAAAGGCAAAAGCCTCATAGATATACAAAGGATGTTATTAGAGGGTAAAGTAGCTCTTCCCAATTTTGAAGAGGAAAATATTTGTAGTGAAGAAAAGGAATTGTTTGAAGTTTCTGTTAATGTTAATTTGGATGGTAGATGATTGTAAAATTTTATATAAGTTTGTGGAATAGAAGTGTGATATTTTTTGTTTTGTTAAAAATACATCTTATTTTTATAAATTTATGTACAATAAATAATATTAGTTGACGAATTCAATTTCTTCTTATTATAACAAAATAGAGTGTAGGCAAACTGTTGATGAAAAAAATTGACATTGTTAAGGATGCCACAACACTTCCGGTTTATTATAACATGATATAAATTTGAATTTTAGTTTACGTGAATGTAGCTACAATTATTACCTTCCATACTTTGTTCATTATATCGAAAGAGTAGTTCAGCTATAAATATTATAAGCAACTACAGTTTTATTTTACGTTCTAATCTAATCTGATGGGAAAGATTTGGTAATGTCGCATATCGCTAGTTTTTTATATAGTTATAGTAATTCAATTGAATAGGTAACAAGAATTTTCTCGTTCAATATTGTATAGCTGGTGTATAGAAACGTTACTATTGGGATAATAGGCCAGTCATTAAAGATAATCCATTCACATTAATTATAATAGCTTTAAATCTTTGTTGGAATATTTCTTAAATTTAAATAATAATAAGTTTAATTTTGCAACTTTTTCTGAGTTGCTGCAAACTTGAACTAATATTAATTTGGTTGTTTTCAATTTTATATTAGATATGCAATTTTTTTGAAAGTAAAATAACGTTTTTGTGTAGAACATCTGCAGAGTTTTCAGGTTAAATAAAAAACCCAAAGGCTTGGTAAACTATTGAAGTATGAGGGTTTTTAAATTTAAAAGTACCGTCCTTAAATTGAGAATAAAACTTCTTGATTAAAAGTATCTATAACTCTATTTTTCTTAAGAATTTTTTAAGATCGCCCATGCTAAAAATAAGTATGAGGGTTTCAAACTGAAAAATACCGTGTTTAAATTGAGAAAAAAACTTCTTGATTTTAAAAATATATATATAGCGAATTTTTAGTAATTCATCCCCGCTCTTAACCTCGTCTAGAAACAAATTCAGACAAGAGGCAACAAGAATAAAGTACATTTATCGCCAGTGCATCTTAGAGTTATTTAGTTAGTGTATAAAATGGATTATAATGTAAATGAGTGTTTCCAATTTTATGAAAGACAGAATGAATACAGAATACAGAAACAACGAGTTATATAATGTATTGTTGAAGTGGGGATTAGCATATTCAATAATAGAATAAAAATACAAGTGAGTCTGATTTGTTCTTTCAGTGAAACATCTTTATAAAAGATGATGTACTATGAGGTAAGCGCCAATAATTCCCGGCCTGACAATGAAGGAGGCAAAGTACAACAACAAGTTTTTATTATTTTTCAATGTAATCTCCCTTAACCTCAATGCACTTCTTACAACGTTTAATTAACAATTCAATCCCTTTAAAAAAATATTCTTTCGGTTTATCCTCAAAATGGGCCAAAACAGCTTTTTGTAACTCAAAATCGTCCCGAAAACGTCGCCCGCGAAGGTCCTTTTTCAAATAACTAAAAAAATAATAATCGCTGGGATCCATATCTGGACTATAACGAGGGTGATCTATATTTTGGATGGCAGCTTGTGTAACGCCAGCAGTATGAACGGGCGCATTGTCTTGCAACAACCGCACGCCTCTGGTTAATTTTCCTCGACGTTTTGCCCTAATACATTCCCGCAACTTATGAAGTAATGCGACATAATATGTGCCATTAACGGTGGTATTTGTCTCTTTAAAATCAATCAGAAGGATTTCTTCACAATCCCAAAAGATCGTAGCCATCACCTTTTTCGTTGATTGGCAGACTCTAAATTTTCATGGGGGGGCTTCACCCTGACGGCGCCACTCCATTGATTCCCTTTTTGACAGAGGATCATAATAAAGAACCATAGTTTCATCTCAAGTGACTATTGTTTCCAACACGGGGTTCGGATCATCCCCACACAGTTCCAAAAACGATCGAGCACACTCGACACGACGTTGCTTCTGAATCGCCGAAAGGTGTTTGGGCACCCATCTTCCACTAACCTTATGCATACCCAAATGATCATGGAGGATTCGGCGAACAGTGGTATCAGAAAGCTTGGTCATTTCTGCCATTTCATTGACCTTCAAACGTCGGTCACTTAGCACCAGGTTTTCCACAAGGGCCACTTTGTCCTCCGTTATCATCTCCACTGGCCTTCCAGGTCTTTCGTCATCTTCAAGTGATTCCTGACCCATGCAAAAACGTTTTGCCCATTCCTTCACTACCGAATAGGAAGGGGAACTTTGGCCATAACGCCATCTAGTCTTTCTTTAATAATTTTAGGTGTAAGCCCTTCTTTTGTTAAAAATTTAATAACTCAATTTTCGTCACCTGTGACATTTTCGGAGATACTTTAGTTCAAAATGCTGACAATTAAAAACTATTTGACGTAAGTCGCTTATTTTGTTACCACAGACTACTAAGGTTTGTAGTTATAAAATGTTAAACTTTTATCCTGATAAAATATCTGCAACTATGTCAGGCCGGGAATTATTGGCGCTTACACTGGTCGAAATTTGGTTCAAAATTACTTTTAAGCCAATAAGAGCAACATTTTAAAATTATTTTTTTATGGAAAGCCCAATATTTTATTGCATTTATGATCAAAAATTATAACTATCTGTAGTGGTCATAGTAATAAACAAAAAAATACCTATTTTTATAGTCTAGAAATACAAAAAAACGTAGTGCGTTTCATAAAAAAATATTCATATTTTTTCTGTAATATTTTAAAATAAATTGACTTACATATAGACAAAGAAATTTTTTTTAAATGTTAGTTTACGCACCAAATTCCGTACCGTATGTGGTGGTCGTTCATCACATATATAATTACTTTGAATTTCCTAGGTAACACGACAGCTTCCGCCGCCTGGACATAGCACAACTTGTTCACCCCCTCCTCTACAATTAGCGGGCAAAAAATCGACGTGCCACATTTGTAAATCATCGAAAGGAAAATAATATTAAAGTATATGTTTGGTAATAAGTTTGTTTATAATATTTTTATATAGGTAATATGTTTATTTTTAACCGACTTCAAAAAGAAGGAGGGTCTCAAATCGTCGGTATATATTTTTTTTAAGTATGCTTAGCGATAAGTCTTTAACATGGCGTCCGATTTTAATGATTCTTTTTTTGTTAGTAAGGGGGTATCTCTGGGGTGGTCCCATATAAATTTGGTCAAAATCTAACAATTGGGTCCATGAGAAAATCCTCAAACTCTTTATTTTTTATGTATGTTTAGCGATAATTTCTTACAACCTTGTCCGATTTATATGATTCTCTTCTGTTAGTAAGGGGTACCTCTGGGGTGGTTCCATATAAATTTGGTCAAAATCTAATAATTGGTTCGATGAGAAAATCCTCAAACTTTTTATTTTTTATATATGTTTAGCGATAATTTTTTACCACCTTGTCCGATTTTTATGATTCTCTTTTGTTAATAAGGGGGTACTTCTCGGGTGGTCTCATATACATTTGGTTAAAATCTAATAAATGAGAATATGAGAAAATCCTCAAACTCTTAATTTTTTATGTATGTTTAGCGATAATTCCTTACCACCTTGTCCGATTTCTATGATTCTTTTCTGTTAGTAAGAGGAGGGGTACCTCTGGAGTGGTTCCATATAAATTTGGTCAAAATCTAATAATTGGGACCATGAGAAAATCCTCAAACTCTTAATTTTGTATGTATATCTAGCGATAATTCCTTACCACCTTGTCCGATTTCTATGATTCTTTTTTATTAGTAAGGGAGTACCTCAGGGGTGGTTTCATATAAATTTTGTTTAGATGTGGTGATGGATCTGCACAATTTTAAAGTCAGTTTTTTAAAATTATTTTTAATACTTGTATTCTTTAATAAAAATTTTATTACACTCCTTCCCACTTTTTTTTAGTCCTATAAAGTATTGCCAAATTTAAACTAAATTTAATTTAGAGTCTATTTATGCCTTTACTACGAAAAGACTCGAACTTTTTAATTTCGAATTTTCTTTAATTCCTGAAGACACAGTAACTTATATATTATTTTTAATATTTTTTTTACAACAAAGGGATTGAAATGTATTGATTCAATCAGAAAACTTCAGTATTTTATTCTGGTGGAAGCATTCATTTTTTAATCAACTTATGCTAAAATTTCCATCCTCTTTTTGTAAAAAATAATTTAAAATTTATAAATTATTGTGTACACAGAAATTGAAAAAAAAATGTCTTTTTTCCTATAGTCATACCTTTTAAGAATAACGCATACTTAAAACAAGAATAAACGTGCTTTAAGCTTCTCCAAAACTCAAAAGAAGTAAAATAATTAGTGTCTAGGCTCTTATTGGTATTTTAGGCTATATCTTGATACCTATGTTTATAATATTAAATGGTATTAGCAGGTTATTGTGATTGGTTAATACAAATTACTAGCCAGAACAAAGCTATAGATTTCATGCTGTTTAGGCAATACCTTAGATATGAATGAGTTACGCCTTGTACAATATCATCTGCATACAACAGAGTATGTAGGCTATTGTGTATAGAACAATATATTGAATATCTCTGGTATACAACTATTAATTAAGATAGGAACATGATTTTCTGTGTTTCAGATAAACATTTCATGTCAACTCAAAATGTAAATAAATCGATGAGGTTTTAGCACCCTTTATCAAAATGTTCTTAAAAGCCTTATTGTTCTATTTTACAAATAAATATGTTGTTTGAACTTCACCTAAAAATGAAACAGCGTCTTCCTGCAAAGGTAATAAGCGTCCAGAAATGCCGCAGGAATATTTCCCATGAGGACGTTTTAAAAATTTGAAGGTGGAAATGTCAGGAACAGGCCAAGACGCGAAACATGAATACGAAAATTCACAAACCGGAAACCACCATACTCGAATATCAAATAGCGCTCATAGGGAACCAGGGAATATTTAACAAGGGGATGAATGTGTCGTTATAATGTTTAAAGACTTTTAAAAAATAACCACTT